CAGCGCGGCAAAGCTCATGGCACCTCAGGTGTATAGTTTTGCTTTCAAGGGCGCGATGCTGAAGTTCGGTCGAGTTGGACGGTAGGCCGTCCATGTGCTCTGGAGATCGGCAAGGGGGGGGGCCCCCGGGCGCTAGTTTGGGGATGGAGTAGTCGCGACACGGAGGCGGCCACCAGGAGGCCGATAGAACCCGACCAGGCGAGTTGCAGTAGGCGGTGAAAGAAAGCATCCTGCAGGATGTCATGTTGGGCATTTATCACAATGTCGATGGGCTCCCAGCGCGGTATGGATTGCAGGCTGGCGGCGGCTGCCTGTGTGGGCGGATTGTCGTGAGGTCTGCTGCCCGCAGTTTGCGCGGTATCTGCAGGGCGTTTCCAGGTAATGTTCGGAAAGAAGGCTGTGCGAGGTCTGGCCTCTGTCGTGCGGAGGCTGTCGGGCACTGCGAGAGCTGTGTGCTGGGTAGGCGGTATGCTGTGTGGCCTCAGGGACATGTCTGCTGCAGGCTTGGCAGGCGATTGGTCCTTGGCCTGAGGCAGCTGGGGGCTGGGAGCTGGAAGGGCCGAGGCTTCCGACGTGGGCGGGAGCTGCGGGTCCGGCATGGGGAGTGGTGGTCCCAGTTGTCGGGGACGGTCCGGGCCCGCCACTGGGGGTGCGAGGCCCGGACTGTTTCAAGTCCTGGGCTTGCCGTGCTCATTGGCGGGGTGCTTTTGGGCACACCCTCGAACTGCACACACGTGGGCGAACTTGCACTCCTTGAGTTGGCATTGGCCGTTTTGATAGCGGCGGCAAATGGGCTGTCCCTTGTGCACGGCAACCCAGTTGGACGGAAGATTTGTAATCTTCCCTTTCCCCTTCCCCTTCTTAGGCGGTCTCTCTGCTCCCTTATCCACCTTGGGAGGCGGAGGGGGCGTGTTGGGCGACTTGCGCTTGTTGGGACTGTCGGCGTTCTTGCCTTGGCCCTTGGGCTGACCTTTGTCGGGCTGCATCTTTGGGCGTAGCTGCAGTAGGCTAGAGAGATCATTCCTGATGGAGGTGATCTCATGTAGGGCGTCATCGAGGCTCCACGATTGTGCGACCAGTTCCGACAGCGAGGCCCATATTTTCCTGTCGGCAGAGATGAGCTCGGCGGTTGTGGGCGTTCTTAGGCCTAGCTGTGCATCTGGTTGGTGCAGGCAAAGCTCCTTGACCTTTTTGTCAAGGGCCTTCAGGTTGTGCAGGTGTGCGGCCCCACAGAGGGCCCAGGCGTTGCGGAAGACAGTTTGGATCCTGTCTAACCAGGCTGCCGCCAGGCGCATATGCTCTACGGGCACTTCTGGGGTTTCATGAAAGAAGGCAGAGGCAATGATTTGGGCCTCTGTGCGTAAGGGCTTGGCAGTCTTGGCTTCCATGTGCTCCTGGTATTGGCGGGCGGATAGGCGAAATTGCCAAGGGATCCAACGGATCTTCTCCCCGGGCTTTAGGCTGTGGTGCACAAGGCTGAGTAGGCGGATGCTGGGCATACTGTCTTGATCTAGCAGTTCGCCTGGGTAATTTGCCTTGAATTTGTCCACCATATCCTGGACTATGTCTTGGGTTAGGCGTGGCAGGTGCTCCATCCACTGTGAAGGCTGCGAAGGCATGATGGGCGTAGGCAGTTGGGTTGTGTTTGGCGTGGGCACTTGGGCGTCCCCCCGCTGGACCAGCTTGTGGCAGTTGTCCAGGGCGCGTCGTAGGCGGGCGATCTCCACAGAGGAGTCTAGGCCTCCTGGGCCGAGTTCTTGTGTGACTGCCTCAGGCAGGGCGTGTATGAAGGGATTGAGGGCTTCCACACACGGGAAGGCCCAGGCAAAGTCCGACATGGACTGGTACCCGCCATCCGAGATGGCGCTGCACAGCGAGGCGTGTACCCGACACTCCTTGAGCAAGTCTCGGAAGGCGTCTGGGCAGTCCATGGCGTGGAAGAAAGAGGAGCGGGGGTACGCGGTGATCTCGAGAGAGTCTCAACGGCTGCGGTGTAGGCGTGCACCTGGGCGGGCAGGCAAGAGGGTGGGGGGGGGAAGGGGGTTGGCTCAACATGGATGCACTGCGGGCCGTTCCTGTTTTTACTCTGAAGGCAGGCTCTGGAAGGCGTCCAGGGCAAGACGGCAGGCTTTATGGCGGCACATCCTGGATGGGTCAGGCTCAGGCATTATGACCCCGGCGTCCCCCATGACTATCCCACAGGCGGTGCGCCAGTGAGTGTCAGAGATCGGATGGGCCAGATGTACTGCCCCCCAGTGTCCATTGGCGACGATTGCTGTCGCCGGGTCCAGGGGGGCTTTGGGGTGGCGAGGCTGTGGGGCTTTGTGTGGGCTGTCTTCCTCACTGGAGGAGTATGAGTCTTCGTCCAAGGTGGACTCATCGGAGGCATGTTTTGAGGCTGATTGTTCCCCGCTGGACCTGGAGGGTGAAGGCGAGGAGGGCTCGTTGGCGTCGTCATCAATGGCGGCCTGGGTCTCAAACTCACGCGCGTACATGAATCTGGGAATGATGGGCAGCATGTGACTGATTGTCATCGATTTGGGCACAGGGCCCGGCGGCACCTGAAAGCTGGGCTCTATGGTGGGGGCTTGTCCCCCGCGGGCTATTGGGCGAGTGGGCCTCCAGCCTGTGGAAACATTGTGGGCCACCGAGGCCTGTACCCATAGGCCGTCGATTGTATCGTCCCTCCCGTACAGCTCGGAGCTGACCTTGTGGTGGCCCGCCTTCCGGCGCGGGTCGGCAGGCAGCCTGAGTTGCTTGGCTGGGCTAAGAAGCCCCACTTTGAGGCCGTGTAGGGTGAAGTTGAGTGCTTCCTGGGCGTCGAGGGCGCCTGTCGAGGCTTCTTCGTGGAGCTGCAGCGCAGAGCGCAGTGCTGGCAAAGCCTGGGTGTAGGACATGGGCGATTGGAATGCAACCCCGGCTTGAGATGGGTTGGCCCAATTTGGCAGGATGGGCAGCATGAAGTCCGGTTCGGATGAAGAGCCCCAAAAGCGTTCCGTTGCGAGCCAAGAGGCGTGTAGGCGTGTGAGGTAGGCTAGGCACCAAGAGGTCGAAGGCCCTCTTCCTGATATGCCGGTCAGGGTTACTGCAAAAGGTTGTCCCGACCTGGAGGTTTTGGTCGTCCAACAAATTCCCCGGAGGGCCTGCGTTGTCAGGCTGAGGCTGCTTAGGCGAATGCGTTGTAGGTCGCCGAATCGTAGGCATGCGTGGTAGGCCAAAAGGAAGGCTCCGAGCAGTAGGACCATTTGGGTACCGGTGGAAGATTTGCAAACGAGGCGTTCCCATGACACGATGCATGCCATGGGAATGGGCAGGGCTTCTTTGCGATCTCTGGGCTTAATGTCGATTCTGTAGGTTGAAATGAGTGGATTGCTGAGTAGCTCCAGCAGGTGTTGCACCTGAGCCATGCGCGATAGCCAAGACAGGGCTTTAAGGGTTGTCTTGGGCGAGATTTGGCACACGTCCCTGTCTTGGGCAAGGGAGGCGAAGGCGGCCTCGAGGTAGTCGGCGAGCTCCACCAGGGATAGCGTTGAAAAGGCTATGTTGTGTGCCTGCAGAAAGTCTAAGAATCTGGTGCATCTGGACAGGTAGGCCTCGAGGCTGGAGGCGGCGTAGGCTGAAATGGCTCGGACCCGAAGTCTTTCAGGCGTGAGAGATTGGGTCGTCTCCGTCCAGAGGGAGCTGGTGTCCCTCAGCTTGTCCAGGAGGAGCAGCCAAATTCGGTTGCACTCTAGTTTGCGAGCATCTTCTTTGGCAAGCATGGTTTGAAGGCGAGGTGGCCCCGAACGTTGTTGGTGAACGATTGGCTCTTGGCGCTTCGATGGTGCTTCGATTTCCGGCGTAGAGGAGCTGGCGGGGTTAGGCGTTGCCGGCAGCTGAGCCGGTAGAGGCTTAGGCTTATTCAGGTAGGCACTAGCGGGAGCAGGCTTAGGGGGGGGCTTGGGCAGCGGAGCCGTGGCATGCCAGCATGTCTGAAATTTCTTGGGGCATGCCGGGAAAGCTTACCCTCCAAGCGTGCGAACAATGTGTTTCGGAACGGGCCCCGAGCGTGGGGACTTGCACAATGGCTGTGGCCAGGCGGACAGAGGCAGGAGCAGGGAGGCTGTGCTATGTGGTGCTTGCACCGGGCGTCTTCCACGCATTTTAGGCACCGGCTTGGGCAGATGCTGGGACAGATTTGTGACTGAGATGGCGGCCCTTGTGCAGGGCTGAAAACCCGGAATGACCGATTCCGCCCCGAGCACCTCCCAGGAGGGAGAGGAGTCGGAGGCCGGCCCAGGCATGCTGACTTGCTGCGGGGGGCAAGCGTGCGATGAGGCCTCATTTTCTGGGGACCAGTCCTCGATGGGGTCGGGTCCAGTGCTTGAGGGAGCTTGTTGTGGGTCCCAGTCCTCGATCGGGTCGAGGTCGGGCTCGATCTCGGAAAGGAGATCGATAGAGAGTCCCGGCAGGGAGGCTGGGGAGGGCGGGTTAGGGCTTCAATCCCCACTATTAGATAGCCTGGGCTTCTGTCGACTAGGAGTGGGGCTCCAGTCGACACGTGGCTTGTGGCCTGGAAACATGTTCCTGGTGGTTTGAGTAAAATGGCTGCAGAGAGGGTGGCTCACAGAATGCTGATGATGGGCGCTCCTTGCATGTGGAGGCGTTACTGAAAGCGGCAATCCTGTGCAAGAAGCTGAACTAGGCACCTGCAGAGAAGCGGGCAGGAGGCTTTTCTCGGTGTGTGAAGAGACAGGGCTTCGGCTGCATCTCGAAGGGCTCGATGGTGGGCACCTGCAACAGGTAAGCATGGGAGCTAAACAAGGCCAACTGGTCGCATGTGTAAACATGGTTCTGCAGTTGGCATACTCTTCTTTTCTCCCCTATTCGGGCCGGCGGCGGATGCAAAACAAGGCCCAATTCTTGGGTCGGGAATGGGCAAGGGCTGCTAGGCTTGGGCACGCTGGGCGGCAAGGCATAGGCGATGCCATCAGGGAAAATGCTGGCGTGTTGCCAGGGCTTTAAGGCGCGTAGGCATGGAACCAGCCCCATGGGTCTTCGTGGGCTCTGCGAAACTCCACGCAGCGGCTGCACAGGTGATCCAAATGCTCACTGTCGGTGTCCGACATAATCTGTGCACACACGAGGCCGAAGGGGCAGTGTGGGCGTGTTGAGCATGGGCGCATGCATCGTAGGCGTTCTCGATGGTCCACGTAGAAGACCTTGAGAAGGTGGGGCGCCAGATTGAAAGTATCTGGTAGGCACACACTGGTGCCTCGGTAGCGTCTATCGGCGTTGGGCGTAATCAGCAAGTGTGGGCAGGGCATGGACCTGGCACTGGTTGCCTTGGGCCGGAAGTCCCCTCCTGTGCGCAGTGGGTTCGGGAAGGGGTTGCGGAGGCCTCGATCCGAGGAGTCTTGCCCTAGGCCGAGTAGGTCCGTGAAGTCATCCTGGGTCTGGGCGTTCTGCGAGTCCGTCTGCTCTTGGGCAGTGGGAGGCGAGGTGTTGGCTTTCTGGGCTGGGGCCGACTGCGGCTGTGTAGGCGGTGGGCTGATAATGGAGAAAGGCACCACTGGGCCCGCGACAAATTGCGGGGCCCAAATGTTGAACCCCAAGGAGCGCACTTCCTGGGGTTGGGGGGTCTCCCTGGTCGGCATGGGCGACTAGGCTGGCGTAGTCGGCTTCTGTGATGTGCACCCGACCCCTCTGGTCCTTCCTGAGGATCCAGCCATCCGCTCCGAAGATGGAGCATTTGATCTTTTTGTGGGCCGGTTCTGGCTCCTGCGGCATAGGCGGCGGCGGGGCCTTGGTTCCCGGCGGCTGATGGGATTCTTGGGCCTGCTGAGGCGGTTGTGCGGGCGGTGGGCAGGAGGGAGGACCTTTGGGCTGGGCTGCCATGGGCTCTTCCTCGAGAGTGAACCAGAAGGAGTCCCAGTCCACCGAGATGGCATTGGCTGGCGGGTCCTGCCCCCAAAAGTTGTGCCAGGTCCTGCCCTCGTAGACCATGGTCATGCGAGGGTTGGGCTTGGTTGGCGAGGCCGATGGGCGGGCTTCTGGCTCAGGCGGAGCCTTGCTGGTGGGCTCGGAGGGCAAGCTCTGCCCCGGGCTGGGCGGGGTACTCTTGGCAGGAGGGGCTGGCGGCACCTGTGATTCTGCGGGTGCAGGTGCTTTGGGCTGCTTGGGTGGCCATGGGCTGACAATCTTGGGCATGGCAATAGGCACGCCCCCGAAACCTATGACCTCCTCGATCACAGGGCTGTCCTCGTCGCTGGTGCTCGTGGGCAAGGGCGTGTTGAGGGCCTCCTCCTCTTGGATATCGGCCCAGGCTGGGCGGGTCTCGGAGACCGAGGGCAGTGGGCCGGGCTGGGCAGATGGGCTTGTCTCGGCCTCTGTCGAGGCGATGTGCTTCACAAGCGCCTCAGGCACTTTGACTCCATCCTTTTTGAAAACTAGGCTGGGAATGACGCGGCCATCCCCATGGGCTCGGCGGATCTGGTCGGGCGACCAGGATAGGCCTTGGGCTGGGTCGATGAAGTCCCAATCTTTGCGTGTGAGGGCTTTCGCCTTTTGCCCGCGGCGGGTGGAGGCTGACTTCTTCATATCGGCTAGCTCGTCTGCGAGCAAGGACGAGGCTGAGGCATCCGGGGCTGGATTGGGCGTCGAGCCCGATTCAGGCGATTGGGCTTGGGCTTGGCCAGTGACCACCGGTGGCGGGGCCTTGGTGGGCAGTGTCTGTCCCGGCTGGGCATTGCCTGAACCCGAGGCGGGTTGAGGCTGTGTCTCCTGGGCAGGGGCACTGGCTAGGAGGCGGTCGCGGGCTTCGGGGCTGAGCTGGTTGAAGTAGGCCAGCAGCTTTCCCTGAATGTCGGCAGTGTCCATTCTGGGCGAGAGAATGGGCGAACACTGAATCTGGGGAGGCTTGAAGCTGTGAAAGCGGCGCTGAAAGCAACAAGGTATGGCTCCAGAGACCGCATGGGCAGGCATGTCCGTATGCAGAGAACAAGGCATGTGCGGCAACAGCACTCACGAACGACTGCAAGAGCACATCCGGCCTTGAAGTCGTGCGAGAGAGGCAGGCAGAAAGTGCGTATTGGCCTGACAGTGAGGAAGTATGAACACCAACCGGTCAGCAACTCTCAGGGCGGTGTGCAGCAAGTAGGCAGAATAAGGTGGCAACTGGCAACCTCGATGTACATGAAGTCGATGCCGAGCTCGAAGGCGTAGGTACCTGCAGCAAAGGGCAGGATGGGCGGGTCCATGAACAATCAGTGCATGGGGGGGGCACTAGGCAAGGCAGCGTGCGGCTCACAGGGCATAGGCGTAAGTCGGGTGCGACATGGCGGCGTGGGTCCCGGCATGGGCTAGGCACCCACTGAGGCAGCGGTGCTTGTGCCCGATGAGATGCCATGGTCGGAGTAATCGTCCGAGTCAGGCATTGGCAGGCCTGCCAAGTACCAGCGGGCATCGGCGGCAGACCACCAGTCAATGACGTGGAATGAGCGGCGGTCTTGTGGGCTAATGTGGGCCCAGAGGCAGGCCAGTACGTTGCTGAGGCCAAAGAGGTGTCTGGTCTGTACCACTATGGGCATGAGCGCCTGTGCGGGTAGACCATGTAGAGCGAACACGTGGGCATGGGCGCGTTGCAGTGCCGACATATGCAAGGCACACTGACGGCGGCATGTGCGGTTTTGATAGCGGGAGCAGAAGCTCTGCATGGGCACGGCGAAGAATTGGCGCTGTGCCGATCTGGGGCCAGCAGGCAGAGGGGGCAGTATGGAGTCAGCATTAGACAGCAAGTGCTGGGGCGGCGGAGGCTTAGGCTTAGGCCGGGGTATGGGCGTGTTAGGGCCGGCAGGCGGGTTAGGGTTATTATTAGGCTGTGGCAGCGTTGGTGCTGTTGTAGGCGGTCTGACCTGGTGAGGCAGCCTGACCTGTGCAAGAGCGAAGCTGTGTGTGAAGGGCTCTTGTGCTGAGGACGCTGAGGCGTCTGGGCATGTGTCACTGCTGTCCTCGGTGCCACTCCAATCCTGGACATTCCAGGGGCAGGGTTGGAAGGCTGGGCTTTTAGGCTGAGGGGGCATGGGCACGGCGTGACTCGACAAGGCTAGTCAAGGGGGTCCCGAGAAAAAGCTAAGAGCCGATAACTGCGTGAGGTATCAGAACCACACTGGGGGCTGTGCAGCTTCTAGGCGAAGAAGGCGATCCTCTAGGTGTAGAAGCTCTCTACGCAACAAGGCATGGGGATTTGCCTCTTCCCACCTGTTCGCCGGGACCTGAAAGGTACGCAGGGCCTGAAGATGTGCATTATAAGGCAGTATTGCAATACGCTTGAGGGTATTGATTTGGGAGGGCATGGGCCCCAAGGCTTCCCTAAGGCTTGACAGCTCCGCATTCTGTGCGAATGCGATAGGCCAGAAAGTCGGCTGCGATGCTGTCGAGCTCATGCCTGAGGTCGGCGTAGGCCTGCTGGGCGAAGGTCAGGCTGGTGCGTATTTGCTGCAGTTGGGTAGAGACTGCTTGCAGCTCCAGGCGTCTGGAAGTCATCTTGGGCAGGTTGTGCAAACAGGGCCAGTCTGTTCAAGTGCAAGTAGACCAAGTCATCCCACTCGAGGACGTAGTCGTGGCGTCCGCTATCTGAAGAGCTGCGAACTTCTGTGCGGATGGGCATGCTCGCACGGTAGGCCATGGCTGGACGTGCAAGCTACAAAAACACCAGACTTACGAGGCCTGGAGGCTCTAGAAAAGACTAAGAGCGTAGAAGGCCTTGACCGCGAAAAGCAGAAGGCCCCACCTAGGGGTTAGGTCAAGGCCAGCTGAGAGCCGGAGATGCTCCAGCTGTGCAAGGCTTGTTTAGGCGTATGGCAAATTACGGTGCATGATTCACTCGTGGGAAAACACACGGGAACCAAAAAACCCGAAGCAATCAATTCACCAACACGCCATAATGTATACAAGACAACCGACCAAGCAAACGGGGCAAGGCAAAACCAACTAGTGTAGCAATTACACGTTGCTGTTGGCAAAGGTGCAGCAGAGGAAGCCGACACTTCAAACTGCAGCACTAAAACTTCAAGAAGATGCACAAACAAGATCAATACCGATCTGTCTTTACAAGCAGCGCTTGTGCCAATGATTCAGGCAATGTCACCCGACAGTGACCAAAGTGATTATGCACGCTAATGAACACAGCGCAAATGTATACCGAGGCAATCAATCAAGCAAGCACGTACGCAATACCAACTTCCAGCTTCAACTGCTCAAGCCAGGTTTTCAGCACAATCACCTTCGTCAAGATGCTATACAGCACACCGCTTCTGCAAGAAACATGCACAATGTAAGCAGGACACGCAAAACCGACACCAGCAGCACGCGCAACCAACTCAACTAAGCGACAATCACATCTTGCAAGTGGAGCTCAATCTGACTTGCAAGACTAGAGAAACACGCTCCTCCAATGATCTTGCCGAGAGACCAAAACAGGCAACCCAAACTTGACACACCAAAGCAACTGCTACAAGTATGCAATCAGCACAAACGCTCCACAGGCGGACTGAATGAACAATCTGGCCTGCTAAGCAATGGGAACAAGCTCCCACCTTGATTCTGCCAATCGCTTCAAAACCAACATACCGGGCACATCAAGTCATCAAGTCAACAAGCAGTTTCACACAAGCAGTCACTCAAAACAACCTCTCAAATCTGCCATACAACACGCAAGCTTCCAAACCAAAAACAATTGAGGATCAAAAAGGTCCAAACATGAATCGTAGGAGTTGTAGGCACAACTGTTTTCCAACCAATGCAGCAACGACAACGCAGCACAAAGCAACCAAAACTAGTCAACCAACGCACAACACTTGTCATCACCATAAACTCACAAGCATACGCTCACCATCTGACTCTTCAATGTGTTGCAGCGCAGCACCAAGAAATAAATTGTCTCAACTCATGGCCAACTAGTCATCCAAGCAAGCAAGCAATCTGAGAAAATCAATCACAGCAAAGTACACAAAACTCCAGTACTTGAGCACACCTCTTCTGTGTAACAAGACGATTTTCAATCGATTGATTTTGGCTTCGGCGTGTTTTAGAATTTAGGATCCACGGAAAGAACCACCCATCAGCGGCAAAATCGACATGGCTGCAATCGAGCACAAACAATTTCGCAAGTTTAATCCGACTAACTGCTTGGCCCGTTTTTGGGCTGTTTTAATCAGGATCGCCTGAAACGAAGCTTTGAAGGTTTCTGGAAAAGTGCCAGAGTGTTCGTGTGCCTCTGCCCACAACCGAGAGCCGCCTCAGTCCACGTCCTGAAAGCACCAGGCTGACTCTGACCGTGTGCTTGCGTCCATTTTAAAAACAAGGTAGTTTTTGTGGGGCGGTTTAGGCATGCCAATGTTGGTTTAGCTGGGTTCAAAGCACACTGTCTTTTTTTTTTGGACTGACGCCTCTTTACTACATCAGTAGCACAGTAGGCCGGTCTTGTTGGGCTCGACGTAAAGGGTGAAACAAAGGCAGCGCACACAATCCGCCAGACACACCAAGCAACCACCAAGCAAACAAACACCAAAGAAACAAAGTAGATACCCCACGGACTCAGTACTCGAAGTCGTCAATGAAGTCCCGGTTCACAAGGAAGCACAGAGCTTGTGGGGGAATCGCAAATTGCGACATTGCCAGATTCTCAAAACCACCATCATGTAGCCACTGGTGCGACAGCGGTTATTCAAACCGAGGTCATCAGAAGAGGTTCGGATCACGTACTCGTTGTCAAGGACAGACAACCGACACTCAATGGCGAAAGGATGTTGCAAGTCAGACTCCCTAGGGGGGATGAAAGATGTGCATATGCCCCATGGTGGTCAGCCAGTGGGGACTTAACAGCAAGAACAATCAAGGCAAGACCGGCCCAGGGCACTCCATGGTGGTCAGCCAGTGGAGTAGCTCCGAGCTCTGGGTGCTCCATTCACCTTGGCGTACAAGTGCCCACCCAGAGAGGTGTCCGCGCCCGGCACAGGGGGCATATGCCCCATGGAGGTCAGCCAGTGGGGACTTAACAGCAAGAACAATCAAAGCAGGACCGGCCCAGGGCACTCCATGGTGGTCAGCCAGTGGAGTAGCTCCGAGCACAGGGTTCTCCAGTCAACCTGGCGTACAAGTGCCCACCCAGAGAGGTGCCCGCGCACGGCCAGAGGGGGGGCGAGAGTAGCTGCAGCTACCGATTCCACGGGGAGAGTCCACAGCGAGTTACCAAACCCTTAACGCCACAGGGTTTATAATGACAACGAGGAACCTCCCAGTCCAGGCATCTCACACAAGGCCACGCAACCTTGGCGCTGGCCTGCGCATCGGCACGCATCAGGTCCCTCCAAACCCAAACCCGCGAGGTACGTCGGTAAGGAGATGGGAGGGCTCACATCACATTGGTGCCGAAGTGCAAGGATCTCCATGGTATTGCTACTTTGATCCAATCAGAGCCTTCAGGTAACATCCACGCGGGCGGGGAGCCCACTTGCCCTGCCGCAGGCCAAGCTCAGACGAGGGTGACCCTCTAGAGTCTCCAGAGGGCCAGGTTGTTCTACAAGTGGGGAATGGCTCCCTGCCAAGTCAGCGGGTGCATCATCTCCACGTAGAAGTGTCCACAGCCAGCGCGCCGAACTGCTAGGTCACCCTGTGCACTCAGTACTCGAAATCGTCGAAGAGGCCGGGAGCACACATGTAGCACCGAGTGCGCAGGTGCGTCGCAAAAGGCGACGTTGCCAGATTCACAAAACCACCATCATGCAGCCACCGATGCGACTACATTCAGCACCAGCCAAGGCCGTTCACGAGAAGGTTCACAAGTCCGCCATCACAGGTGGGGCATAGTCGTGCCTTGGCACGGGACGTTGCAGGTGTCAACCTTCTTGATCCGAAGTATAAAGTTGCCCCATGGTGGTCAGCCAGTGGGGACTTAACGGCAAGAACAAAGGGTAGGACCAGCCCAGAGCACTCCATGGTGGTCAGCCAGTGGAGCCTCTCCGAGCACAAGGCGCAACGTTCTTTTGACTCACAAGAGTCTCGTCCGACGGCCAAAGCAGGCTTGACTGCTTCGTTCCAATCAGAGCCATCAGGTAAACCCAAGCAGGCGGGGACCCCACCTGCCCCGCAGGAAGCGGGAGAGTCCTCCAGTCGAAACTTCGCACTCAAGGCCAAGCAACTATCTCCTTGGCCGGTGAGGGTTGAGGGTTCAATAACCAGAATCAGACCCTCCATGCCCAAACCGACAGACGTCGGTGAGGAGATGTGAGGGCTCACATCACGCTTGGCCACCTACCGATGGGGAGGTAGTCATGTATGGCTGCTTTGACGCAAGCAGAGATATACACCCAAGCAGGCAGGGAACCCCGCAGCAACCCAAGCACAGGCGAGACCAGGTTGTCCACAGGTGCTCGATGGCACATTGCCAGGGAAGTGGAAACCTGGTCTCCGCAGAAGTGTCCACAGCCCAGAAGCAGCATCCCCTAGCTGGTCTCTCCCAATTGGCATGACGCCGTTGTACGACACGGGGGTGTCACCGTCCAGACGAGAGATGGTCAACACTCAAGTCCGAGGGGTTCACACACGGTCGTAGCACATAGAAGCGGGCAACCTGCCCACCTAGAGGGGGCAGAGGAAAGGAAGATTGGCCGTTTTACCGATGACAAAGCTGGAACATCCAGGCAGGACCGGTCCAGGGTAGTCCGTGGCAGATGGCCAGTGGAGCAACCACGAAAGAAAGGCCCCCCGTTCCCACAGGCACACCGCGGGGCCGACCCAGAAGGGTGTTCACAGCTGCAAGCTGTAAGCACACAAAAGACAAGCACGATCCAATCCGTGGCATAGACCACGAGAGGGTTGCCAAACCAAGAGTATCCCGAGGTAGTCTTGCGGCATGTATCGGTGAGGAGATGTGAGGGCTCACATCACGCTAGGCAGCATGCCATGAAAGGACTCAATGGTGCGTTCGCATGGCGTCAGTAGGAGCCCTCAGATGACAGTTTGCTGTCTATTGCCAGGAGCCATCCCAGTCCGGACGCCGGGAGCGATGGCCAGCTGAGGTGGTATGGGAACGCCTCCCTCGGCTGGGCATGACCTGCATTGGAGGCAGCTCTTGCTCATCAACCCCCCACTCAGGGATGCCGTCCGGAATGGGGATACGCATGTATCTTGTCATTGAGGTTTGGGCCGCGTGCCACATCACCCGGACAGCTTCCTGGATTTGCCTGTACTGCACAACACCTTCGTCCTTATACTGAAAGGGGAAGGAGGTAACTGCAGCACGCAGGGCCGAAGGATCAGGGTCCTTGGGGGTGCCATGACAGTACATCCTAAACCAGAAGCTGTTGAGGCGCTGCTTGGTTGGATGTTTGGCTCGCATGAGCCCCTTAATGGCAGCCCAATGAGCAGTGGCTGCGTCATACCACGCATTTTGGGGACGTTGGGGCCCATGCTTGGTGGGTGTGGTGCTGATCCCTTTCCAATGCGCATCAAAGATGACTGGCAGCCGGAAAGGGGCGGAGACATCCACTTCTCGCAAAGCTGCAAGGTCAGTGGTTCGCAGCTCCGAGAAGCGCCAATCATTCACCTGTGCCTCGGGTTCGTCCTCCGCGTCTGACATGTCATCCATCGGGCAGGGAGAGCCTTCGTTAGTTTCGGAAGAGATGCTGACGACCTCCGGCGAGGTTGCTGCAGTGTTCGCTTCCACAGGCGCAGCACAGGGCGAGGAGAGCAAGCACTCTAGGGGCAACACTCGCCGTAGGAAAACAGCCATTCTGTGAGAAGTGTCAGGCCATTCCAAGTTAAAAACTGACCAAAAATGCTCAATGTTTTGGTTGGCCACCGAGGCCGCAAGAGCAAGCCGGATGGCGTCAAGGAAATGGGCAGGGGGGAGGTCCGGCCTAAATTCTTGATAGTGCCTTTGCCCAAGTGTCTGTGTGCCCTGCAGCGTGATGCCTAGGAACGTATTCAGGCTGGGCTGGGCAAGCCTGGCCGTTTCCACGTCCGTGTGCTTAGCAGCTGCGGCCCATGCCTGCAAGGCTTCTTGGGAGGCTTGGCCAGTGACTTGTGGCAGTCCACTGTGCGCGTCCATCACATATTTGGTAGTAGGGCACGTGGGACACCGATAAGCGCGGCCAGCCAAGAAGGCCACCATGGCTGCAGGCGGCACATTGATCTGCAGGTCAGTAATTTTATTGTCAGATTCAGGAAAACCAAGAACAATGGGCAGCCCTGCCGTACGCTCCAGGGGACCTTTTTGGTGGGACTCGAATGCGAGCAGAAGTGCACCCAGCCAATAATCTGGGTCAGCGTAGCTGAGCATTGCAGGAAAACTGGCATTGATGACACTCGGCAAGTCCGACACCGCAGAGAAAAGATCCGCGATGTACTGCGCTGTGGTAAGAAAGCCTTATGCCAAAGATGAAGTCCATGTTCGAATATATGTTGCCGAAACATATTAAAGCAAATTGTTGAAAACAGCAATCTAGAATCAACAGCACGCGGACAGCAATCCCTTGTTTTTCTCTGCCTTCGCAACGCGAAAAAGGGGAATGGTACACATGACATCGCGTGGCATGGAGCCACTCCCACATTTCAAACACAAGAGGTGGCATAGAGCCACCAGCCTTCTTTCCCCGGGTGGGAGGGTGGGGAACAAAAAATTTTCGCCAGCTTGCTGCGAGCAAGAACCTTGACCCATTCAACATGCAATTCACATGTAAAAATTCATGCAACAAATCTCATGAGAGTGCATGCACGGGTCAGACGAAAATTCCCAGCAGAACAACATGTAGAACATGGACACAAAAATTCTCATCAAAGAATTTTTGAGTTCATCTGGCATAAAACGCTGTCACACAAGTGTGAAAGCTTGCTTATGCCAAAGATGAAGTCCATGTTCGAATATATGTTGCCGAAACATATTAAAGCAAATTGTTGAAAACAGCAATCTAGAATCAACAGCACGCGGACAGCAATCCCTTGTTTTTCTCTGCCTTCGCAACGCGAAAAAGGGGAATGGTACACATGACATCGCGTGGCATGGAGCCACTCCCACATTTCAAACACAAGAGGTGGCATAGAGCCACCAGCCTTCTTTCCCCTTTTCACTCCATCCTTTCGAGGATTGTGCCAGTGAGGAAACAACGCGGTGTCTCCTCGACAAAAGGTTTGAAACACGACATATCATGCCAACGGCCTCTGGACGGGGGGTCAGCTGGATTTGAGTGGCTGGGAACTCGATGGAACCAGGACATGCAAGGCCTCGCTTCATCTGCAACTTCAAAGGCCATAAGAAGTTGCCTCCAGGATGAGTCGGATGACGTCCCGGTCATGCATGCGCCCTGCACGCCTGAATGGTCGATAAAGTAGACAACCCTACGATTTGACAGGTCATTACTCCACAGCACTCGAGCGAGGACCACGGCATACAGCTCGGTCTGCCCTATGATGTGTTTCCTTCCCTCTGCCCACACCTGCACAACTGAATCTGGCACTCGGCAGCCAAAGACCTTCATCGTCGGGCGGGAGCCCGGAACGATTAGCAAGCCCCCCACACTGCACTCGAACTTATCTCCCTTGGGTTCGCATGCACCATCGGTGAAGACAAGCACGGGCGAAAGATCGCCCGCTGTGGAAATGCTTCGGGGCGGTCCGGAGCGCATGCGGCGCAAGAGAAGAGCAAAGGCTTCAAGATGATGGGGCATTAAGGGCACACTCACAGCATTCGCAGCCTCAAGCTTGCGAAGGTCAGCCAGCGCCAGACGGCCGGATCTTCCCAAGAGCTGTGATTCGGCAAACTGGAGCCTGCCAAAAAGGGCAGGAAGCTCGGCCACCCTCACTCTCCCTTGATGCATGACCATCTCGAGTGACTCAGCTATGGCGCTGGCACGGTCTGGCTTATTGGCTACCCGGACAGCCTGATACCCTTGATCGGAAGTATCAAGGGTGACACCCAGCAGCTCGGTTTGCGTAGAAAAGCTACACTCCTTGTCCACCGAAGTCTCAAAACCCAAAAGAGTGAAGACTGCATGGGCACAGCCATCAGTGGCTTCTGCAAGACACTTAGGCGCAGTGCAAGGGTAGTCGTCGTAGTAGCAGGAGGCAAGCACGTCGACCTCAAGGAGGATGCGCCTAAGCAGCAAAGAGACCCGGTTGAACTGCAGAACCGAAGCCGCAGACCCGAAAGGTAGGGTCCGGCATACAAAGGCTCTGGGCTCACGGGTCCCAGGTTCCCGCAGCATGATGACAGCCTTCCTTTGCTCTTCTGGGTGCAGCGGCAGCTGCTTGTAAGCAGACCTCAAGTCGTAGGTCTTCGTGAGGGGCCTGATGTTATCACCCTGCTCCCACATGGCATGCACTTTCCCATTCAGGCAAGTGCCATCTGAAAGAGTCAAAGAAACATCTCCTCGGGATGAGGCGTAGCGAAAGATCGTTGAGCAGACCCACACAATCTCGTCGAGGGCCCTCAAGGCAACCTTCTCGAAAGCTCCAAATGTCGAGTTGACATTGTTCTCGCTGAGATCGTCGATAGGTCGCCACTTCTTTTGCCATACCGCGAATCTTCTGCAAGGGCACCATTTGTCACCGAAACGCTGCCTGACCTCCTCCAAGGAGAGAGGCCCGTGAAGCCATGCCTTCGAGTTCGGGTCGGCCTCGTCCAGAGTCAGCTCCCACAGGGGTTGCTCGAAGTCAGCGATGGCCTGCTTTCGAATCTTCTCCACCAAGGAATTCTGGAGAGCGGGCGCTCGGGTCCAGAACTCCTGCTCATCAAGCTCTGCAGGGCGCACGTCAGGCTCAAAGACTCCTGTCGCAGGAAGATAGCCGGTTATGCGAAAACCATCCGCAAGGTCCCGATAGATGGCCTCATCTGGCCAACCCAAAGACCGTCCAATTTTCTCGAGTAGGGCCAGCCTCTTTCCTCTGAGGACGGCTGCGACATCCTTGTGCATCGAGGCAAAAAGTTTTGCATTTTCCGACTCAAGCTCTTTAGCCCAACCTCGCCATTGCCGAAGCTTGAGCAACCTAGAACGGAGGACTGCTACAGGCCCACCCGTCAAAGTCTTAAAGAGTACACGCAGAAGATCATCAGGCACGGCCCGAGCCAGGTCAAAAGGATGCTGCAGGGAAAGAGCATGATGCACATACTGCAACGGCTCACGGTACACACCAAAGGTAACGTACGACGGCCCTGGGAAGTCAGGAAGAGCGACTCCCCCCCTTTCAAGTGACTGTCGCAGGAAACGGCTGCCGGCCGGCACACCCAGCCAAGGATCTGTCAGGCAACGCTTAGCATTGAGCGGCGGCGGCATCTCAGAAAAGACAGTGACAGTGTAGCTGTACTCGGGTATGAGCGGCGGAAAGCGGCGCCCGCGTGGCTGCACGTGGTTGGCTGCACGCGCGGAAGCATGGGCAGAAAGGGCATCGGGATCAGGGCCCAACCCAGACGCTGAAGCGGAGGCCGCAACCTCCGCCACGAACCGCTGGCAGAAAAGGAGCGGGTAGGCCGCCTCACGGGCGGTGGCAAACTCGCCGTTTTGGACTTGCCAGGGCTGATGCTCCGCACAACCTGGGCATGGCCCACTAAGGACCCCCAAACCTGGCACGTTGGTGAGAAGGCCCGTAGCCTTGCGCCTGTTGGAGCCATGCCTGCAAAGGTCAAAAGCAACGAAAGTGCAGCGCTGCATCAAAGAGGCAAAAGGCGGCAACATCCAAAGCCATGAATGCAGAGGGTTCTCCACTGAGACGCCGATCTGAGGAAAAGAAGCCAGAACAAATTCGAAGAAAGCAGCAGCGCCCTCGTAGATTGCATTGGCACTTTGGACACGAGCGTGATCAGTAGGTGAGAGCCCTGGAAGACCCCAGACATGATGGAGGTCGCGCAGAGGGGGGGGCCCAGGTGACAAGTCGCGGGCGCGGCTGCATGTGCCGCACGGCACGGCAATATGCACATGAGCCACGGCTTGGGATGACAAGACGCCACGAAGGAACTCCCAGGAGGAGGGGCTGCGGAGATCCAGCTGCAGAACATGCACATGCGGCTTAAAGCGATTGCCATGATGGTCAACAGCCAACGTCCGAAAACCAGCCTCCGCGGCCTGCTGTGACAGCAGGGCAGTACCGGCGCAAAGCTCGATGAACAAAGGCGGCGTGCCGACGGGAGTTGGGGAGACTAGGGGACCCGGCAAACCAGGGGGAGGCGACCTAGTCCTAGAACCCGAACCGGCCACAACAGCGGAAGTGGGAGCAGGAGAGCGCGAGCGTCGCGCAGGCTCAGGTGCATCAGCGGTCTGGGGGAGCGGAGGGAGGGGGAAACCTAAGGCAACGAGTTTGGCACGATCGTCCGGCAGGAGCCGGTGGCAGGAGGCAGGAGTGAAACCCACCAAGACAAGCCTGCGCCCCGTCCAGGGCAGGACTTTATGCCACAGGCGATAGGCGTCGAAGGTAACGGCACCATGCTCCCAGGACAAAGGGCCACCCTGGACGGTGTGGCCAGCACAAGTGAGGCTTTCACTACCACAACCCTCGACCCAAAGCAGACCACCTTGGAAGACGGTCAAAGGCGCAACGGTGTTAGGCACAGGATGGTTACGCACATCCTTATGGAATGGAGCGTCGTCAGCATCCAGGAGAACAATGGCTGAGAAAATGGAATCTGGGCACAGCAGGCGCAGCCAGGCAGTCAAGGCAAAAACACAGAAAGGGAAAACCAGGGTATTCTTACGAAACCCAACCAGTGCACCCTGACCATAAGCCCCGGCAGCGAAAGCACGACCAGTCTCGGCCCGCGGCGAAGGCTCGAAGGGGAGCAAGTCCACCATCTCGACGATTTTTGAGCGGACCAGGGTGCGCTCTTGAAGCATGGAAAAAGCCAAAATTTCTGCAGGATGCACCGGTGCGGGGTATGCGTGCATCAAGGCCTCGAAACCAAACAAAATGCAATCTGTACATGACAAGGTCTCAGGCAAATTGAGGGCAGTCGGGGAGTGGCGGGACATGGAATCAGCGCCGGCATCGCAAACGCTGTCGGGAGTCTTTGCAGGAACAGGGGGCTCCCGTACAGGATCAGGCGACACAGGCTGCCCCGCCCCGGACTGTCAGGCCTCGGCACCCATGGCCGCCGGCTTGTTGGGGCAGTCCAGGGCAGGATGTGTACGTCCGCAGCGACTGACAGCGCAGATATGAAGGCCTTTCCGGCAACGGCCTCGGGTGACCGTTTCACGGCACTTCTTGAGGTTATAATCGAAACATATGGGCTCGTTGTTATTGGTGCAGGAGTGGCAGCCCTGGAGCCCGAAGGGCATTCGAACGCCCTTGCCAGCGCCCTTGCGACCTCCCTTCTGGCTTCTCCCACGACCTCGGTGTCTTGGGTAAGGGCCGCCACGATCAGCACCCTCGTTGGGGGGGAGACGGCCCACTCTGGGCCTTGGGAAGGGGCTGCAACAGGTGAAGGACTTCCGAAGCTTGGGTGCACTCAACAAAGATCAGGTCAAGCGGCCGCTTGCCTGTGGCATTCAGTTGGATACCGGTCCTTGTTCGGTCCGCAAGGAGCATGAAAAGGCGGCGATCAGCAGCCTGCAGCTGCTGGAAAGTGGGTTGCAAGTGGCCCGCGAGCACAGGGTCCAAACGGGCACTTTGCAGGCGCTCGCTCCAGCGCGCATGCAGGTTATAGTCGAGGAGGTTTGCCATCTCAAAGGCCACCGCTCTGCGAGTCATGGCAAGAAGGAGTAGAAGCTCAGTCGAAGTATCGGCTATTGCCGGGGAGGACTTTTCGGTCCGCAACATGCCGGCCGCATCAACAGAAAGGACTTTCTCCCGCTTGGCGCTCAGCGTCTGCTCCTGCTCCTTACTCGTCAGGCGGTCCCACTCCACATATAGAAGCTTGTTGTTCTCATACATTGAAACACACAGATCAAGCAATGAATCAGACGGTTCAGTGCGGTTTCTAATGTCAAGACCTGGAAGTCGCTTCACAATGGCGGAATGCCTCTCAGCCCTTTCCGGGACCGAGAGCTTTCGAGGTGCACTCTCCTCCGTTTGGCTCACCAAACCTTTCATCTCATGAGTCGTAACTGAGAAAGACTCGTGAAAGAGCCGTCGGAAAGAGGCCTTTTGCCCCAAGGTCGGCTCTTTTCCCAACGCAGTTGACAGGGCTAAGATGAGACTGCCATCGTCACCAGCGCCTGGGGTATAGGCACTGCAGAAAGCGACCTTCGCCAAGGTTGTGAGGCCGGCAGCGACAAGACTCTCCGTCTCGGCTTCATCAAGTCCACATGCTGCGCATCGGGCTCGGAACACTGGAGTGGATTCCGAATAGGCCGCCATGGTGCACACAACCGCACCTTCTTGAACCTTAAACGGCTCCACCTCAAGGCAGCAGTAAGCTTTCCCAGACATGTCTGCGGAACAGCAACGAGAACTGCACTCCAAGCCTCAAGAGGGCAGCTGAGAGCTGCACACTCACCTCTGAGCCCGCGTAGGGGTCGCGCACGTTTTCAGCTGAGAGCTGTCGCCCACTAAGAGTGAGCGTCACATTGCACACAGCAAAAAGATATGAAACTGTCGCTGGCATAACAGCATTAAAAGTAAGAGAAGAGAACTCATCATGGCATAACAGGCGGTGCATGTACCAGCTGAGAGCTGGGCGTTAAGCAAGTGCATGTCAGCTCAGAGCTTGGCATAAATCCATGTAAGCAAGTAGCGCCACCAAGAGTGGGCTTTCAGGGGTATGGAGCACGTGCATGTCAGCTTAGAGCTGCCAAACCACCACTAAGAGTGGCGGTAAACCAACATATAGCACGATCGAGTGCATGTCAGCTCCGAGCTGGGCGTAAAGCACGTGCACAGCGGCTTAGAGCCTCCAGATTGCACCACTAAGAGTGGGCTTTCAAGGACATTGTGCACGTGCATGTCAGCTTAGAGCTGCAACTCCACCGCGAAGAATGGCAGAGAATGGGCATAAAACACGTGCATGTCAGCTCAGAGCTGGCTTCGCCCCCCCCCACTAAGAGTGGGATATAAAACTGACGCAATAAGCCCACAGGTCGAACTTCATTTGTACGACGCGCCGCGATCCATTCACATCTCTCTAGGCACAGCCGCTAGCGCACAAAACGTCTGAAACACTGTTTACACCTGGGGTGAAGCACTACAGGCCTTCCCTCGCAACTCTCATACGTTGCGTTGATCGGCCTTCCACAAATCAAAATTTCGCCGCCCTCCTCAGCGGCGACGTGGATGACCCTCGACACCAAGTTGCGTACATAAACCCCACTCACAGGCAGCAGCGACTCGTCGACTCTCCCGGTCCAGCGTCCCACGAGCTGGTTGGCACAATCTTCATCTAACCTGCGATCAGGGGTCTCGTCATCCTCGCTGCCCTCCGAAGACGACACAGCTCCGTCCTCTCCACAGTCATCTTCATCCTCGGGAAAAGGCTGTTCTTCGCCATCAGCCACCCTGAACTTGCGACCTCTCGGGGCATCAGGATCAAAATCGCCCTTCCGGACCCACAGGAGCATCCTCGACATCTCCCGGAGAGGTTGAGCCTGCGCGTCGGCCTCATACAAGATCTCGGTTCCTACACCTGCAGCTCTGGACACATGATAGCCCAAAATGCAACGGATATCTCTCGCAAGCCCAAACTGCGACGACCAAGCAAGAAGTGTGCGTTTGCAGGAATGCGTCCCATAACTGCCGTAGGAATCGCTGCCAAAATCGAGCAATGACTTCAGCCACACATTCGCCATATCACACGGCAAAGGCACCTTAGCCCAAGTCCCGTCTGACCTGGCCAGCGGAAGAAGCGGGCACTCTTGATCTGGGCCTAGACCTTCGGACTCCAAAAGCTCAAACCAAGTCACTCCCCATGGACGTTCGTCATCAAGCATCACAACAGGAGCAGCCATGGGCAGCATGCGAGTCTTGCGCTCAAGTGAGGTCGAACTCTTCGTGCGCGACGCAACAGCAGTGATGTACTTTGCCCCGCGCGGGAGCCTGAGCTCGGTCACCCTCTGGGCGTCCGAGAAGCGGCCCCTGCTGCCTATCATAAAGAGGAAGAAACCTGCAGCCACTCTGTCCGCCGTCGAGCGGCGTAACTGACCTGAAAGTATCGCCTCCAGCTTCCTGACTTGTGCGCAAGTGAAAGGGAGTCTTTGCTTCAATGGCCTCTTGAGTTGATAGGTCCTCGCAGAAAGGCCCGTGATTCGATGCGAACAAAGGACCTCATCGGCCGAAGGCATCCCCAGAACGAACTTCGCAAATGCGACGGAGGAAAGGAAACTGCGAAATGCAGTTGGAGCAGCCGTGGCGCGGTTTGTGTCCATGTACAGGTAAACGGCTGCCTCGACCAAAGGGAACGGTAGCATATTCCTTCCCCGCGTCCATACCACAAACCGCAAGAGGTGTGAGGCCCTATTATTCACAGTGGCTGTCGCCTTTGCTGAAAGAGCATCTGCGACGCTATCGGAAAGCGTGCCAACACAGTGACCTGCGACCTTGCCTTGATACCAGTTGCGAGCGACACCAAAAGACATGGGATCACACGCAACAACGGAAATCCACTTGCTCACTGCAAGATGCCGCTCCTCGTTCTGCAATTGCAGCCAAGTTTTAGTTTCCAGCTTAGTCTTTACAAATTTGTAAGGGACATTCTGAACAAAACACGGCCGTTTAAGCTTCTGCCGAACCGGGGGAGTATCGGCTGGCACGCTCGATGGAGTGGGACTCGCAAAAGTCGGCAACACTGTCGCCAAGGGCTTCAAGGGCTTGGGCGTGGGATCATAGGCCAAAAGACCCACATCCCAGGGCATTTTCCACAGCGAACGACCCGAAGCCGTGCAAGACAGGACATGCAAAGCTTGCCGGGTGTCCTGGCTCAAGCTCTCGTGACCTGGCAAGGCATGAGACGGGGCAGGAACAGGCTGATCGTCACTCCCCACTTCACTATCATCAGAAACTGGCATCACAGACGCACAGGCAGGGCGTGCAAAAGGCCGCGCAACAGAAAGCTCAAGTGTTGAACCAAGGCCTGCAGAAACTGGCTGATAGCAGCAAGGCGGGTGGAGTCCTGTTCAAGCTGATCAGCGTTATCCTGCACACGGGACTGCAAGGCGACCACGCGATCCTCAAGGCTGACCAAACGGTGTTGAACACTGCGCAAATGACGCCCGAGCAGGGCCACGTCACGGCTCAAGGATGCAAGGCGAACCTCAACAGGCACAGCCTGGGCAGCTGCGGCAGGAGGCTCAGGGGCCTCGAGATCCATCTGCCGGCCCCGCGGGCCGGCGTGCACGAGCCCTAGCGGCAAACTCGGTTTACGGGGGGACTGAGACCTCTAGCACAGCACTAGTACGGCCCCGAACCCGAACAAAAAATTTTCGCCAGCTTGCTGCGAGCAAGAACCTTGACCCATTCAACATGCAATTCACATGTAAAAATTCATGCAACAAATCTCATGAGAGTGCATGCACGGGTCAGACGAAAATTCCCAGCAGAACAACATGTAGAACATGGACACAAAAATTCTCATCAAAGAATTTTTGAGTTCATCTGGCATAAAACGCTGTCACACAAGTGTGAAAGCTTGCATACCCCACCAGGGACTCCGAAAGCCTCGCTTTGTCCAGCTGCGGGACCGGGCAATCCAACATTTCAGCAAGGTCGAAATGCTGCAATGCCCCCGACAATCTAAGGCACTGCGTGATGATATTTTTTTGCATTTGCATACGCAGCTTCGGGTAAGGAAGCCTAGCGCGACACAATGTACAGAAAAGCACATGCCAAGAGCATGCGGCCAATCGTGATGGCAGGTGAGAAGTAAAATCCTCTGATGTACATGTTCGGTGAGGGATAGACCCCGCATCGAGATGCAAGCAGGTCAGAAAACGAGCAGTTGACCTGGTCCTTAAACCTCGCAGTCCATCAGATTAAAGCTGTACAGCCTACACATTGTTCAGAAATGTGGTGTGAAAAAGCAGATCAGGTGTGCTTCGCGAACTCATGTTGTAGCGGAAGTAAATGTAAGTACCTGCAGTTGTGGGAGGTGCCCTCGACCACATATGCTGGCATTGTCTGCATGATAACCCTCACATGCGTGTAAGGAAACACATGTAGCATTCATGGTGAATGTGGTGCAGAAGGTCATCTGTGCAGCTTTTTGCTGGTTGGCCGTCGTCGGTAAACCAGGTGTTGGTGCTCAGCGGTGCATCACTTAAAAAGGCCCGGTAGTGACCACATTTGGTGTCGCGCCCTGCATGAGTGATACCTGCAAGGATTCGGTACGGCATCCATTGCACCGTGGTACCATCTCTGCAAAATACAGGCACATATGTGATGTTCCCTGGATCAATGCGAACACAGACCCTGTTTTTGCGAATTCTTCCGGCCTGCTCAACATATCTCGGCAAGTGTATGCATAACCAAAGAGGCGCCTGCACCAAGGCATGTATGAAGGGCTGTCTACACCAAGCTGCAAGACAGGAATCCAGGTCCGTTGTTCGTTGTGGCAAAGGAACAGTTATTCCTGCAGAGAGTGTGCCCTGAAGCTCTCGGATGTATCGTCCGGGGCCCTCAACTGCAGTCCTCGCCTCCCAAACTCCTTCGAAGACAGGCGCTCTGGCAAAATCCTGGAGATATATCCAGAACTCATGAGCATCGTTTTGTTGGTGTAGTTGGGGCCATGTCAAGAGTATGTGGCGCCATGCAAGCATGCCGGCTATATATGGTGATGTGCTATTTGATGCCAGGATACGTTGAAAAGCTGCGGAAGCTCGTCCAAAGAGTGTACTCGATTCACCTTGAGTTTTCGCCGCAAGCCATGCACTGACAACGGAATTCAGATAACAAAGGTTGGTGGGATTACGCAACGCCAAGGTAGTGACCACTTGAGATATCGGCTGAGGGTGTCCGCCAGCGGTGACATCTGGAGTCGCGGGTGATGAACACGTAGACCCACTAGCTGCAACGCCGCTACCCCTTGGATCCTGGCGAGAGACTGGTACAGTGTTTGTGCCCCAGGCTGCCTCAGCCCCACCTCCGCTACGAAGGTCAGTTGGTGTCCCGCCAGTTCCGCTGCCAGCCTTCTGGTCGCCTGAAATCTGTAGAGGGCTCCAGGCATCATGCAACTCTGTTGGATGGTTTCGATCAACTTTTCCAACTCCTCTTGCGTGATGCCCTGTCCCTCGATCTTGTCCAGCTGCTCCGTCTCGGCATTCCAGCGTAGGAAGTTCCAGTGTCCCTCCGGTGTTAGCCATTGCTGCCGCACCACCACTGCTTTGAACGCCTCCGTGGTAGTCACCTTCTTGACGCGGTCGAGGAGCTCCGCACAGAGGCACTGCACCACCGTGACCCGCAAGGACATTGTTGGCTTGGTCTCGCTCTCCATTTTCTGCTTCCAGGCCTGGCTTATCTTGAACAACGCGGGCAGGATGTTTTCCTTCTCGCCTGGCCTGCTCTGGAACGTGAACAGTAAAACAGTGTCTTGGCCCAATCGCATCAACTGTTGCTCGTGCCTCAGAGACAGGCGGACCAGCTCCTTGACCATGTCCTTCTCCAGGTGATACGTGTCGTCCATGAGGCTTGAGGTCTCCCGAAAGAGAGACGTTTTCGGGCGCGGTGCTCCGCGTCCCCTTCCTCGTCCCTTTGTACTCTTCCGGCCCTGTCCTTTGTGGCTTTGTTGATGTGTCGGAGACGCCGATCTCTTTCCTGTTGACCTCGACGGTGTGGTCTCCGGAGTGCATGTGGTGCTGCTCAAGGACGGCAGCATTTCGCCGTACATGGTCTTGAGTTCGTCCATCGGTGTGGATTCCATCCTCAAGCAAGAGATGAACAGACGTATAATGCAGCAGGGCCGCGTTCAACACTGGCATGCAATATTGTGAATGTAATGTTGGCCTGTGCGTCGTAGCGTGGCACCAGCAGCAAGGTGTCGCAGCTTGATTGAGCAAAATGCTATTGTGAACATAATCAGGTCGGTGTTGCCAGAACCCTTCATGTGCAAAAGCGCAATGTTGCATGAACTCACGCACGTCTGCAGTGGGCACTTTGCATTGAACACATTGGTGTCGAGCTTGTTCACACCACGAGACGTCCTCCAACACATGCATCCAGTTTGCGCTAGGACCAGGGCTGATTCAAGCTCGGGTGTATGCGGAAAGAAGTCACTGCTCACTGGTGGATTTAACAGAGGCTCTTTTGCCGCCAATAATTGCATCTTACGCGCCTTCGATTGTCGGCGTTGGCGCTCTCTGGCAAGCCGTAGCACGTGTCGTCGGTGTTGCTGCGCGTCAAGAGGCCGCATAGTTTGTTCATCGTGCCATAAACGCATCAGCAAGCATACCTGCCAAATAGTAGGGCATTTAGATGTGTGCGAGACCGCATTACGGACTTGCGCTCCACAGAAGCGACAAGGTGTCACAGCTTGCCTTCGAACCAGTGAGCAGTCCTGGTCAACCATAATGCCATAGTCTTGCCAGATAGTGGAGTGGCTGCCTCTATAATGCAACTTCAATTTCCATGGATGTGTCCACTGATCACAAATTGCACAATGCGACCTCAAGTGCATGCAAATGGACCTGAGCTGTACAATAGCAGGCCATCCATGTGTTCCCAGGAAAGTGCGCAGGTCTTCATGGTACGCTACAGGGTCCGCTCTGTTGGTCCTGTTCCAATCTCCCGCCTGTGTTTGTTCGAAGGTCGGGTGGCCTGGAGACGAGGTGTCCTCAATCTCACGTTGCGGGTCCTGGCATTTCAGCCAAAAAGTAGAACAGTGATTGTCCAAGATGTGACCTTGTAGCGCCTGCCATGTTTGGAATTCATGTTCACAGTGTCGACATGTGGGCATGTCATCTTTGCTGTGCAGAAAACGATCAAAGTTGCGGAGGAGTGGTTCAAGGGGGACGCCGTGCGACTCGACATGGTGCTTCTTCAGCATTCTCATATCCACAAAGAACAGGAGGCATTGAGGACACATGAACTGAGCGGGCAAAACACCTTTGGATGTAGCGACAGGTTGCAGCCACATCCCGCCCTCTCCAGGGAGTAGTAGTGTACCCTGGTCTGGTGTGGCATCAGGTGTTTGTCGAATCTTGAAATTCTGCCAATGTCGAATGGCCTGCTCAAGTTGCAATTGGTTCTGTTGAACCGTATTGATGAGCGCAGTCATGTTCATCATTGGGTCTGTGCTGTTCGTCAAAGTGGTGGAAAGTGTATGCATCCGCTTTTGTAACAAAAGGTGCGGCTCCTCAAAACCAAGGCGTTTAAAAAGTGCCTCCGTGCTCTCATGTGTTATGTGGACTGGGCTGGACGAAATCGCACGGAGTTGCCTTGCACAGCATGAACGGATCAGCCTAAGCTCCTCCCATCCAACTCCCACAGCGTTCAAACCATGTTGTAGAGAAGTCCAGATACACGCCTTCCATAGCTGGACACGCTGTTTAATCGACAGAACATGCTTCCCTTGTAGGACTTTTTGTAGTCGCCGACGTTGCGCTTCTGCTTGTCTCAGTCGATAAGCAACTGTGTGTTTCGCTGGATTGTGGTAGCTTAGCATGATGCCGAGGTACTTGGTCTGTTGCACGATTGGGATAGACAGAATTCTGCCCTGGGGTGTTGCCGTGACAAATGTCTTGACCCCCTTCACCGTTCGCGTCCGCGCCTTTAACCATTCCGCTGCCACTCGACCCTTGACTTGAATGAGGAGCGACGATTTCTGGACATTCACCTTCATGCCAAATGCTTCCAACACGTTGAAAATGGCATCCATGCATTGCAGCATAAAAGTTAAGTCCCGTTCGGAATGAAACGTCCATTGCCCAAGAACATCATCTGCGAAGAGAGTCAATTGATCTCGAACCCACTCCTCCGGCACATGTTGCCCAATCATTGACATTACGTGGCTTGTGATGGCCACCCATAATGTGGGGGATAGTGTACAACCCTGCCTCAGTCCTCTTCCACAATGCACGGTCTCCGTGAGGTCGGCCACCTGTAGATGATACTGGATGGTATTGTGCCATTGAATGATCGTATTGATCAGCTCAGCTGGCATTCCTGTGCGGCAAAGTGCCTCGCTGAGTTTGGTTCTGTCCACTCTATCGAAAGCCTGGCTCATATCCAGGGCAAGTGTTGCTCCTCCAGTGCAATTCCCTCTCTTTTTACCCTGGCGCCTGGCCCGTAGCCCACCGTCATGATCAAGCAAGAGTTGTTTGACGCTGCGGCAATGGTGAACAGCACGTAGTATGGCAGCCTCCAGGAGTCGTCCTGGGG